GGCGATACGTGCATACTATATCCATTGTGAGATTTTAATCGCGTTCATGAAAACATGGGGAAGATAGAATATAATTCAATTATGTGTGCCACCCTTTAATTCATTTCCTTAGCTGTATGAGATAAAACTAATGGATATAATAAGTACTTCACAAGATAATCTAAGATGCACTAACCTGAACAATTGGACGGATATTACATCTGTGTAAACTACACAATTCGTCAGAATGTGGTTTATTTCAGAATAACACTATAATTAGTCTCATTTTCAATCAAAGATTATTACATTTAAATAGCATGTATGCCACCACTCTGACACGTTTGCATTGCAATTATGCATTGATTATAAAATCCAATCTGTTGTCAGTCACCAAAAGTCGAACCCTGTATGGGCAGATAGAGTATCAACTGTACCATATTCATAATATTAAAACAACTGATTAAATTGAAAGTCAACTGTATAATTTGTTCATTGTACAAACAAAACAGGTGGGTGTGTGCGAATATGAAATAAGTATAGACAACACCACAGGGTGGTTGGGTGTTGTAAAGGTGTGGCAAATATCGTTGACATAAAATTTGACTCCGATAATCAGAACAGCCATATCAAACTGATAGTGCAAGACTGTAAATGCTGAGAGTTGGCTATTCCATAATGTCTTTAAAGTACCCTGATAGACCCTTTAAACGCAGGTTCTCGCAGTAGAAGTTGCAACATAAAAAAAGATTCTTATTTTAAGAGGTTCAGAAAGTAAGACTTTAGGAGAGGAAAACTGACATCGCAGTGACTCGGCTTAGCACTTCAATAAAAAAAGTAAATTAAGTTAACTTGTTTCAGACTTGATTCAAGACGTCCAGATAGGATTTGGATATCACTGAAGCCTTGAAGATAAGTCTTCACCAAAATACCATACAGAGATTATGCCGTGCCACAACAAGCCATGGATTTATATGAGAGTTCTTTAAAGAAGGCCAGCACATCCATCAAAAAGACCAGGACTGTTGTTGTCTGGGAGCCTTGATTAAGTTAGATTGGACTTCAACATCCCATTGAATAACCAGTTTGTGACTTTAGATGTTGTTCATCTATGTTCTCCAAAATCAGGGCATCCAACACGTGAGCTTGGTTATACAGGAATCAAAGCAAGTACTTGTCTTTTTGTTGGCAGTTGGCAAATAAATAGTTTCATGGTCATAGATTGAACAGGTGGTTTGCCAGTGGTGGACTTATCTGCCACTCCATGACTGGATCAGTGCATCCGACATTGAATCTTTGTAAAAGTTATAAATGAAGAGCTGCACAAGACGCTAGTATTATGAACCAACATGGAGGTGTGTGTTAAGGTTAGTTTTTTAGGCAAAACATAGGGTTCAACTTCTTGCTCAGAATGACCACATGTAGTTTGTTCCAGATTTAATTATTACAAGTGCTCCTAAAACACAGATTTAGTACTGTGCCACGACTTCCCCCGTGGTGCTACAGCAAAGCTTATCTAATATAACACTTGCACATTCTCTGGTCGAGACGAGGAGCACCTGTTCTATCAGAGGTTGTGCTTTACTAGAAGTATTGCATAAATGCTTCGCAAAAGAGACCCTCAGATTGATTACATTAATACTAAAATATTTACCAATTTTTTGTGAATGACAATGCCCGTCTCTGGTTGAAGGATACAAAAAAGAGCAAGAATGAAAAAGCAAATCTTTTCATCAAAACAAAAGCAAATCGTCATTCATATGAAACAAAACTGGTCAAGTATGTCAGAGAAATGAGTGCTGACAAACATTCTGTGACAAACAATTCAGTCATTTACAAAAAAATTACCAGGGTGTTAATTTGATATTGATTTAAATTTTGCATAACTCGATCATGTTCCTAATTCGAAAATACGCCACCTCTATATTGCTATTAATTCAATTGAAACTTATTGACTGGCAGGCGATCAGGACGTGAAAGTAAAGACATTTGGTGTCCTACTGACAGAATCCTGCATTAGGAAGATGACTGATAGATGTACCTGACTGAAAAAACAGTGAGTTAACAAATGCCCTGAACTGGTGAATATGCAGATTGGGACAATTGTTACTGCATGTCACTTGCACTAGTATGTTAAACCATTGGCTAATTCGTCAAAAACGACACTACACGTGGGTGTGCCCCGTAGGTAATGCCAGTATATGCCAGAACTATAACCCATAGGCAAGCCCTTTATATTTTATTAGTGGTGAACGCAAGTTATTTTATGAAACAAGAAGTCCCTGAACATTTGCTACAGGAGGACAGTCAATCGCCATCACACCAATCGCCCCCAGCATACCATATATAACTTAAGGATAGATTTCGTTTGGAATCTGATGATGACGATGTTTGACACTTGGCTAGAAGTCTCCCTATGTTGTAAATTGCTTCATAGCCTCTAGGCGTGTAACTGGATCAGTGTTGGACTTATGAGGAGCTCCCAAAGATATTGTGTCAGTATTGCCAGGTAGATGTATTGCTTTGCTTCCAGAAGTGAAAACCTCACTGGCCAATTTGAATATTAACCACTAGAATAGAGTTTGTCTTGTCTGTGGCAGGGTGATAAGCTGTTCGCCAGGCACAAGGCTCATTGTTTGAGTATAGGCACTTGAAATGTTACCTAAAGCTGCACTGCACAAGCTTATAACT